CCCTACAACCCCCCCCATACCCTACACCCCCCCCCCCATACCCTACAACCCCCCCCCCATACCCTACAACCCCCCCCCCCCATACCCTACAACCCCCCCCCATACCCTACAACCCCCCCCCATACCCTACAACCCCCCCCCAAACCCCTACACCCCCCCATACCCTACAACCCCCCCCCATACCCTACAACCCCCCCCATACCCTACAACCCCCCCCATACCCTACAACCCCCCCCCATACCCTACAACCCCCCCTACCCTACACCCCCCCCATACCCTACAACCCCCCCCCCCATACCCTACAACCCCCCCCCATACCCTACAACCCTCCCCCCATACCCTACAAACCCCCCCCCCCCATACCCTACACACCCCCCCCATACCCTACACACCCCCCCCATACCCTACACCCCCCCATACCCTACACCCCCCCCATACCTACACCCCCCCCATACCCTACAACCCCCCTCCATACCCTACACCCCCCCCCATACCCTACACCCCCCCCCATACCCTACACACCCCCCCCATACCCTACAACCCCCCCCCCATACCCTACACCCCCCCCCATACCCTACAACCCCCCCCCCATACCCTACAACCCCCCCCCATATTCTACAACCCCCCCCCCCCATACCTTACAACCCCCCCCATACCCTACAACCCCCCCCATACCCTACACCCCCCCCATACCCTACAACCCCCCCCATACCCTACAACCCCCCCCATACCCTACACCCCCCCCCCATACCCTACACCCCCCCATACCCTACAACCCCCCCCCATACCCTACAACCCCCCCCATACCCTACACCCCCCCCATACCCTACACCCCCCCATACCCTACAACCCCCCCCATACCCTACAACCCCCCCCCCATACCCTACAAACCCCCCCCATACCCTACAACCCCCCCATACCCTACACCCCCCCCCCAATACCCTACACCCCCCCATACCCTACAACCCCCCCATACCCTACAACCCCCCCCCCCATACACTACAACCCCCCCCCCATACCCTACACCCCCCCATACCCTACAACCCCCCCCATACCCTACAACCCCCCCCATACCCTACAACCCCCCCCATACCCTACACCCCCCCCCATACCCTACAACCCCCCCCCCATACCCTACAACCCCCCCCATACCCTACAACCCCCCCATACCCTACAACCCCCCCCCAATACCCTACAACCCCCCCCCATACCCTACACCCCCCCATACCCTACAACCCCCCCCATACCCTACAACCCCCCCCATACCCTACAACCCCCCCCCATACCCTACAACCCCCCCCCATACCCTACAACCCCCCCCTACCCTACACCCCCCCCATACCCTACAACCCCCCCCCCATACCCTACAACCCCCCCCCCATACCCTACAACCCCCCCCCATACCCTACAACCCTCCCCCCATACCCTACAACCCCCCCCCATACCCTACACACCCCCCCCATACCCTACACACCCCCCCCATACCCTACAACCCCCCCATACCCTACACCCCCCCCATATCCTACACCCCCCCCATACCCTACAACCCCCCCCATACCCTACAACCCCCCCCATACCCTACACCCCCCCCCCCCCATACCCTACACGACCCCCCCCATACCCTACACCCCCCCCCCATACCCTACACCCCCCCCCCATACCCTACAACCCCCCCCCCATACCCTACAACCCCCCCCCCCCCATATTCTACAACACCCCCCCCCCCATAACTTACAACCCCCCCCATACCCTACAACCCCCCCCATACCCTACACCCCCCCCCATACCCTACAACCCCCCCCATACCCTACAACCCCCCCCATACCCTACACCCCCCCCAATACCCTACAACCCCCCCCCCCCCATACCCTACACCCCCCCCCATACCCTACACACCCCCCCCATACCCTACAACCCCCCCCATACCCTACAACCCCCCCCATACCCTACACCCCCCCTATAGCCTACAACCCCCCCCCCTAACCCTACACCCCCCCCCATACCCTACAACCCCCCCCATACCCTACAACCCCCCCCATACCCTACAACCCCCCCCCATAACCCTACACCCCCCCCCCCATACCCTACACCCCCCCCCATACCCTACAACCCCCCCCCATACCCTACACCCCCCCCATACCCTGCACCCCCCCCCATACCCTACACCCCCCCCATACCCTACACCCCCCCCCCATACCCTGCACCCCCCCCCCATACCCTACAACCCCCCCCATACCCTACAACCCCCCATACCCTACAACCCCCCCCCATACCCTACAACCCCCCCCCCCCCATACCCTACAACCCCCCCATACCCTACAACCCTCCCATACCCTACAACCCCCCCCCCCCATACCCTACAACCCCCCCATACCCTAACAAACCCTCCCATACCCTACAACCCCCCCCCATACCCTACAACTCTCCCCCCATACCCTACACCCCCCCCCATACCCTACACCCCCCCCCCATACCCTACACCCCACCCCATACCCTACAACCCCCCATACCCTACAACCCCACCCCACCCCTACACCCCCCCCATACCCTACACCCCCCCCATACCCTACAACCCTCCCCCATACCCTACACCCCACCCCATAACCCTACAACCCCCCCATACCCTACAACCCCCCCATACCCTACACCCCCACCCATACCCTACAACCCTCCCCCATAACCCTACACCCCACCCCCCATACCCTACACCCCCCCCATACCCTACAACCCCCCCCCCATACCCTACACCCCCCCCATACCCTACAACCCCACCCCATAACCCTACAACCCCCCCCATACCCTACAACCCCCCCCCATACCCTACAACCCCCCCTCATAACCCTACAACCCCCCCCCATACCCTAACAACCCCCCGCCATACCCACACCCTCCCCTCATACCCTACCACCCCCCCATACCCTACACCCCCCCCATACCCTACACCCCCCCCCATACCCTACAACCCCACCCCATACCCTACAACCCCACCCCATACCCTACAACCCCCCCCATACCCTACACCCCCCCCCATACCCTACACCCTACAACCCCCCCCCCCATACCCTACAACCCTCCCATACCCTACAACCCCCCCCCCCCATAACCCTACAACCCCCCCCCCATACCCTACACCCCCCCCATACCCTACAACCCCCCCCCCCCATACCCTACACCCCCCCCATACCCTACACACCCCCCCCCATACCCTACACCCCCCCCCATACCCTACAACCCTCCCATACCCTACACCCCCCCCCATACCCTACACCCCCCCCATACCCTACAACCCCCCCCCCCATACCCTACACCCCCCCCCTCATACCCTACAACCCCCCCATACCCTACAACCCCCCCCCCATACCCTACACCCCCCCCCTCATACCCTACAACCCCCCCCCCATACCCTACACCCCCCGCTCATACCCTACACCCCCCCCCCCATAACCCTACAACCCCCCCCCCATACCCTACAACCCCCCCATACCCTACAACCCCCCCCATACCCTACAACCCCCCCCATACCCTACAACCCCCCCCCCCATACCCTACACCCCCCCCCCCTCATACCTACAACCCTCCCCCATACCCTACACCCCCCCCCATACCCTACACCCCCCCCATACCCTACACCCCCCCCCATACCCTACAACCCCCCCCCATACCCTACACCCCCCCCATACCCTACACCCCCCCCCCCATACCCTACACCCCCCCCCCATACCCTACAACCCCCCCCCCATACCCTACACCCCCCCCATACCCTACAACCCCCCCCCATACCCTACAACCCCCCCCCATACCCTACAACCCTCCCCCATACCCTACACCCCCCCTCATACCCTACAACCCCCCCCCCCATACCCTACACCCCCCCCATACCCTACAACCCCCCCCCCCCATACCCTACAACCCTCCCCCCAATACCCTACACCCCCCTCATACCCTACAACCCTCCCCCATACCCTACACCCCCCCCCCATACCCTACACCCCCCCCATACCCTACAACCCCCCATACCCTACACCCCCCCATACCCTACAACCCCCCCCCCCATACCCTACAACCCCCCCCTCATACCCTACACCCCCCCATACCCTACAACCCCCCCCCATACCCTACAACCCCCCCCATACCCTACAACCCCCCCATACCCTACACCCCCCCTCATACCCTACAACCCCCCCCTCATACCCTACAACCCCCCCATACCCTACAACCCCCCCCATACCCTACAACCCCCCCCTCATACCCTACAACCCCCCCATACCCTACAACCCCCCCCCCCATACCCTACAACCCCCCCCCCCCCCCATACTCTACACCCCCCCTCATACCCTACAACCCTCCCCATACCCTACACCCCCCCCCCATACCCTACACCCCCCCCCATACCCTACACCCCCCCCATACCCTACAACCCCCCCCCATACCCTACACCCCCCCATACCCTACAACCCCCCCCCATACCCTACAACCCTCCCCTCCCAATACCCTACAACCCCCCCCCCCCATACCCTACACCCCCCCATACCCTACAACCCCCCCCCCCCATACCCTACACCCCCCCCCATACCCTACACCCCCCCCATACCCTACACCCCCCCCCATACCCTACAACCCCCCCCCCCCCCATACCCTGCACCGCTGGTCAACTTCGTGGCCAGGCGAGGAGTCGGCGACCAAAATAAAAAGTCGTATTTCGGTTGAAACTCGTGGATTTCAAGAGCCGCCGCGAGCGGCTCCGGATCCGCAGGTTGCCGCCCCTGGGACTCGGCAATGTTGGCCCCTTTACCGTGCGGCTGCTTATGGGATTGGTGTCCAGAAAACGTATTTCGCACCGCGCGCAGTCAACCGTGCCAATCACAGAGGTGCGTGGGGGTGGTGACGGCGATGATGGTGATGATGGTCACGCTGGAAGATGGTGGCGATGATGACAATGAAGACAGCTACGATGATAGCGATGGTGGTGTGCCGAGTGGCTCAGCGTGCGAGGGCCTCACCGATCATCCACAGGAGCAGTACGGGACGTGTCCAGAGCTTCATGGTCACTGCGCCTGCTGATGAACAGAGCCACATCGAGAACTCTGTGAGACGTTGTCTGGCTGGAGGAGTCCACCCACCCACCACACCTCGGTAGCGAAACTTGATCTCGTTTGACCAGAATCACCACTCAGTGGGAATCACGCAGAGCTGCTGAACATTGCCACTCGATACGCCACTTGGTTACGAGCTATCGTTTGCGATAGCCAAGTCGTCTCTGAATAAGAGCTACGTAACCTAGTGAGCCTTCACCTGGCGAAACTAAAACTCTTCAGAACAGGAGCAGCACAGCTGGTCGGTCAATGGCCGGGCAGGGCACGGCACGCGTGCGTGACCCACCACCCCCTCCCTACTCCCTGTGACAGGGCACGGCACGCGTGTGTGACCCACCACCCCCTCCCTACTCCCTGTGACAGGGCACGGCACGCGTGTGTGACCCACCACCCCCTCCCTACTCCCTGTGACAGGGCACGGCACGCGTGTGTGACCCACCACCCCCTCCCTTCCCTGTGACAGGGCACGGCACGCGTGCGTGACCCACCACCCCCCTCTACTCCCTGTGACAGGGCACGGCACGCGTGTGTGCCCACCACCCCTCCCTACTCCCTGTGACAGGGCACGGCACGCGTGTGTGACCCACCACCCCCTCTCTACTCCCTGTGACAGGGCACGGTACGCGTGTGTGACCCACCACCCCTCCCTACTCCCTGTGACAGGGCACGGCACGCGTGCGTGACCCACCACCCCCTCTCTACTCCCTGTGACAGGGCACGGCACGCGTGTGTGACCCACCACCCCCTCTCTACTCCCTGTGACAGGGCACGGCACGCGTGTGTGACCCACCACCCCCTCTCTACTCCCTGTGACAGGGCACGGCACGTGGTGTGTGACCCACCACCCCCTCCCTACTCCCTGTGACAGGGCACGGCACGCGTGTGTGACCACCACCCCCCTCCTACTCCCTGTCACAGGGCACACCACCCCTCCAACTACCTGTGACCGGGCACGGCACGCGTGCTGTGACCCACCCACACCCCTCCTCTACTCCCTGTGACAGGGCACGGCCACGCTGTGTGTGAACCCACCACCCCCTTCCCTTACTCCCTGTGACAGGGCCCGGCACGCGTGCGTGACCACCACCCCCTCCCTAATCCCTGTGACAGGGCACGGCACGCTGTGCGTGACCCACCACCCCCTGCCTCTTACTCCACTTTGACAGGGCACGGCACGCGGTGTGCACCCACCACCCCCCCTTCTACTCCCTGTGACAGGGGCACGGCACGCCCCGTGCTGTGACCCCACCACCCCCTCTCCTACTCCCTTTGGACAGGGCACCGGCACGACAAGTTGCTGTGACACACCACCCCCTCCCTACTCCCTGTGACAGGGCACGGCACGCTGTGCGTGACTCCCACCACCCCCTCCCTCTACTCCCTGTGACAGGGCACGGCACGCGTGCGTGACCCACCACCCCCTCCCTACTCCCTGTGACAGGGCACGGCACGCGTGCGTGACCCACCACCCCCTCCCTACTCCCTGTGACAGGGCACGGCACGCGTGCGTGACCCACCACCCCCTCCCTACTCCCTGTGACAGGGCACGGCACGCGTGCGTGACCCACACCCCCTCCCTACTCCCTGTGACAGGGCACGGCACGCGTGTGTGACCCACCACCCCCTCCCTACTCCCTGTGACAGGGCACGGCACGCGTGCGTGACCCACCACCCCCTCTCTACTCCCTGTGACAGGGCACGGCACGCGTGCGTGACCCACCACCCCCTCTCTACTCCCTGTGACAGGGCACGGCACGCGTGTGTGACCCACCACCCCCTCTCTACTCCCTGTGACAGGGCACGGCACGCGTGTGTGACCCACCACCCCCTCTCTACTCCCTGTGACAGGGCACGGCACGCGTGCGTGATCTACCAACAGCTGTGCCGCTCGGTGAGAAGTTCTCGTCCGCGGACTCGTGACGACTTTCAGTGGCGCGAGCGACGACGACGTTGGCTCACGAGGTCAGCGGAGTTCACGAGGTCAGCGGAGTTCACGAGGTCAGCGGAGTTCACGAGGTCAGCGGAGTTCACGAGGTCGAGGGGAGCGAGGGAGCGACGTTCCGAAGCAGCCACCCACGTGGGTTGCCGGCACAGTGTGTGGGGACGGGGCTAGTTCCGCCCGACCGGCATCGCCCCCCAGCGGTGGAGATTTTTTCTGTAATAAAAAAAAACTTTGTCTAGAAATTGTTTTGTTGTCCATGATACAGGTTGTTGGGTCTTTTTTTGGTTTGGGGGGGTTAGATCACATAAATATATCAATATATGGGTAACCCCGCCACCACCCGACACAGCCACATACTGTAGTAAGGTTCGTCACGTAAACGGAACGTGTCAATGGGTCACTGCTTCAGCACACACCGGTTGTGTGTTGTAGAGTAAAGCCACGACGTTGACCATTCAAATACCGTGACGTTTCACCCGAGGGGGGCCCTCTCCATTCCCTGCCCCCCTCTCCGCTCATCCCCAGCCACCCATCCCCAGCCACCCATCCCCTTGACCCCTGCCACTAGCGGTCAGCTGGCTGCAGGGAGTGGCATCAGATTTAGGCAGCGTGCGTGGAAGAGGAGGCCAAACACCGTCGAGAAGGGCTGCACCCAGCGCCTCTCGTCCATACGCCTTGAGCGCTGTATAAGATGGCTAGGAGATGTTCACTACCTCGCCTGGTGCGTAGGAGGTCGTGAGGTTGATCCCGACCCTTACGCCTGCTGCTGTATATTTGTAGTTTGCGTGTCTCCCTGTGGTCACGTGGGTTTGTCTCAGGGTTTTACCTTCGCATTGAGGATCAACATCACAGCGCGTTTAGAGGATTCGGTTGCTGCTATAAATGTCCACGTGATGAGCCACTTTGTTGAGCTCTCATTTGTGGCTAGGTCGCATCTGAAAAAGAGCCGCGTAGTTCAGTGGGCCTGAGCTTGGTAACATAAATGTTGTTGAGTTTCAGTGGCGTGGTGCTCCTATCCAATAATACCGTATGATAAACTACGTTACAGAGATTTATCATACAAACTTGTTCGCTGTTCAACTTGGTATTTACTTACCTATGTCAAAACAGAAGAAGGTTCAGCCATTGATGACGACTTGTTGTTATTGCTGTGTGTTTCGGAGAAAGAAAATGGAAAATTCGTGTTTAAAAGAGTTGCTTTGTCAGAAGTGGGATTCGAACCCACGCCTCCAGGGGAGACTGCGACCTGAACGCAGCGCCTTAGACCGCTCGGCCATCCTGACGCGATACAGAAGCGCTCTCGAGCAACCCTCATATACCACTATGGGGCAGTCCATAAATGACGTCACGCGATTTAGGACGATTTTTGCCCCCCCCCCCCCTCGTCACATGGCGTCACAAAAATTCAGACCCCCCTCAAATATGACGTCACAAAGCTCTGCCCCCCCCCCAACCATAATTCCATTTTGAAAATAAAACACGCTTCAAATCGCTTTAAACTATTGTCAATGTAGTGCGTATTTAATGTGGCGCTGCACTCTGATGTTGTAGGAGAAAACATTTATTAAAACGGAGGCGTTGGAAAGCTTAAATGTAGCATAAAATTCACTTGAAAATATTCAACGTCTAACTAAAACTGCAGATGTTCAAAATATAATATTGAAATTATCTTATAATGATAAAATATTAAAAGTAATTATAACTATAAGAAAATACTTGAAACTTTGTAGTAGAACGAAGCAAAATGGAGAGTTCAATTATAACAATCACGTGTTCATTCCACAAAATGAAAAGCCCTGGTAGAATCATTAGAATCAAAATGTTTAATAACAATCATTAAACAATTTTCAAAATATATGCTTCTCCATTCTCCCACGGAGAAGCAAAATGCTCCTTCATGGAATAAATAAAAGGCGACCTTAGTAAATTTAAATAATAAAATAGTTAATAATGAAAATTTATCAAAATTAGTGTTGTTAGTACAATTCTATATTTATTTAAAGTTGCGAATTTTGATGTGACGTCATATTTCTCAAACCCCCCCCCCCCCTCGTCACACATTGTCACAAATGTTTGACCGCACCCCCCCACCCCCCAGGTGCGTGACTTTATTTATCGAAGGCCCCTATACACACCACTACTACACAAACAACAACAACCGCCATTCGCCACTAAGTGGCGGTGACGTCACCACGACGCTTGTGCCAGGCCATGTGCACTTTGAGGCCACGTGAAGTGTCGAACGCCCGCTGGCAGGAGGTCACGGGGCAGACCCAGCAGGTGCCACGGGTCGACTGACTGAGATGACCGAGATGACTGGCTGATGCACCACCTGTGCCCCCTACTGTACCAACTTGCTGTGCTTTAGCCACCCGGCGCTCCGCTCGTTGTTGTGATCGTCGCTCCTCCGCCCTCCGTTGTTGTTGGAGGGCGACTGCCTCCAACTGCCCAGTAGCGTCCTTCACGAGCCTGCTCCACAGAGGCCGATCTTGACACCGCTGGTACCAGTCATCGGCAAGTCCACTCAGCTGCACGTCCGCCTATACCACATCACTCCATCTCTTCTCTAGCCCGTGCCATGCCCGTTTAGCCCCCTCTATCTGGCCAAACAAAAGCTGTTTAGGCATGCGGTGGCTGGGCATGCGGGTTACATGACCCAGCCAACGCAGCCTTGGCTGCAGGAAGAGCTGACCGATGGGACTTTGTCCAGATCTTTCAAGGATTTGTGAGCTCCTCACACAATCCAGCCTGGTTAAAGCAAGGATGGATCGTAGGCAGGCCAACCTAAATGTTTCTAACCGGCGAAGATGCTCCATTAGGGGGAGGGGGGGGTCCACGTTTCGCAAGCGTAGATAAGGGAGGGAATGACCGTGGCCGGGAAGACCTGAAGCTTCGTGCGGGATGACAGACCAGGTAGCTTCCACACAGCGTTACGCAACCGATGAAAAGATAATGCCGCTCGACTGATAAAGAGCGAGACCTCTGCTGTCAAACCGGAACCGGTCATGAGCACACTGCCCAGGTAGAGAAACTCTCCACAACTGCCCCATCTCCCACTAGACACACACCACTACTGCTCGTTGTCGTGACTTGTGTTGCTGTTGTAATTAACGACGCCCGTGATTCGTTGGTGTCCTGTACAATTCCCTGCCCGGAGAGAGCGGTGGCGCAGCAGTTAGCACCACTGAACCCGGAAGCCGCAGAATTCGATTCCCAGCCACGGTGAACGTCAAGCTGCCACTCCCCCTGGAAGTGATTTAATGGTTGTAATGTACTAACAGCAAAATGAAACTAACCTCGGGCCCTCATCCATCACTGGAGCACCATGAGTGGAGCACGCAAAGCAATATTGCAGTACGCGGTTTGTGGGGATTGTTTGACCATAAGTGGGGGGACATAGAGGCGAGAGCACAGAAGTACAGGACAACGGTTGAATTTGCGACACTGCTCTGCTGACAACCTGGCGTACAATGAAAGGCTCCAGTCACCAACGCAAAGTTGGGTGAACTTTGTAAGGTGGTCGGGTCAACTTTGGCCCAAGGTTTTACTTTTTGTTAATAACTGGGCTTCAAATCCTGCTGAGCTTCTGAGATCTGGATGATATGGGGGGGGGGGGGGCCCATTTGCTGGGTGATTCGTCTCACTTGGGGCAAGCGAGAGGTGCGGAGCGACGTTCCGCTCCCTCCACCACCGCGTCACTCGGTCGGCTCCCGCCGGCGCCCCCGCCGACCGAGTGACGGGGGCCCAGCGCGCTCGTGCTGCCGGCCTCGGAGCCGCACGGGGTGAAGACCGCGCGCCCGCACACACCGCGGCCCCGCCAAAGGAAGGGGGCTGCGAGGCGGCGCCCGCACTCTTGCACGCGATTGCATCACTCGCGCCAACGTGGTGGCGATCCGCGCGTTCACTCTCGCCGCGCGTTCCCCCACCGCTACCCCGGGACGCAGTTTTTTCCTAGATTTTTCTGTTTGCGCGAAGTCACTTTAAGATGTTTCTGGTTCACGTTTTTGTTTGTTGCGGTTGCACCCGAGTCGAGAGCCGCGTGGCTCACAGGGCTACACCGAATGAAATTATTCGGCTCGCATGGCGGACACCGCACCACCTACGCTCCTCGCTAACTTTTATTCCTGGCGCAAAACCACGAACCCAACCACGAACCCGTAGAGTCAGCCGCGCAGTCGGCATTACCCGGGGAGAGTTTCTCTGCCGTCTCCGCTGCCGCTCCTGCTGCTGCTGCCGAGCGACAGCCAACTCGTCGCCGTCATCAAGCAACAGAATCCAATGCGCGCCCGCACACCCGGATATTTCACCTGCACACGTGTGGGTGTTGCAACCAGCCGTACTGGTTTGTCGGCCACGGGGATTGCTCGGACCAATCGGCACGTATAGTGAGCAAAGAACCATTGCGCCAGCCGTGGGTGACCTCTTATGACCGGGTGGGCAAAGGCGGCCGTCGTCCCGGTGTCCTGGGTAATTTGTCCGATCCGTGCGTTGCAGGGGCAACCGCGGGGATGTCGCCATTCTTGTGTGGGTCGGGATCCACGTTCACCGTCATCCACCAGCCAACTGTACAACTCCCCCGGCATTGTCACCAGCACACGTGCAGATTTAGCTGCCAGCCATTGCAAAGCTGATTGGTCAACAGTTGTTCATGAGCAGTGGCGGCTCCTGCAAAATCTCTCAGGGGGGGCAAATGTCTGGATGATTGATAAGGATAAGGTCCACCCATGCAATGGATAAATTAACAGCTTAAGCATGTAAAGGCAACTTCACTTCTTTAATATTAATGAAAAATAAAGTGACTCTTACAATACATCTTGTTTGTTTCTATACTCACTATTATTACAATCCACTCAGTTTATTTTATTAAAGATTCCACTAGGTGGCGACAAATAATATTGTTGACTGAAACGTGCTTACGTATGATGACGTAAGCACGTTAGTGCGAGCCCTCCCGGAAGCCATAGAGAATGCATTGGAGCGCCCGCCGTTCGAAAAAAAACATCTTTTAATGTAAGTCTATGGGAACACTCTGTGCGATTCTCAGCCAGAGTGAAATCGCCCAAAAAGAGGCGGTACTCCACAGAACGTGACATGACGCTGATTGAACTATATCCAGAGGCACAGTAACGGCTCGTGTAACTCTGTGGTTCAATGACATTTGTGGTGCGTCGCCCATTCGCCCTAATGAAGAAACCGCCCCTGTTCATGAGAAGAAACATGTTGTGTCCACTGTACTCATTGCCCAGTAACAGCATCTCTGAAACTTGACAAGATATATAAAAAACTTAACATTAAACTGTGAAATGACTCATTGTTTTTTTTGTTTAGACCACCTCATGATCTGGCCAAATGTATGTCGTGAAACCCTCCACCGCCCGACATAATCAAACAAATAAAGTGGACACTTGTGTAAGCGTGTAACAGCGCGCCTATTATTATTGATTCGGCCCACTCACCGGTAAGTTTAAACACAATTCTCCCAATTTTGCAATACTTTAAAATGTTCCTGTTCCTTCATACGACATCATCAGCAATGGGAGAATGTGGCCGGACTTCCAAACAACACCCGGCCAATTCACCTACAGATGTGAAGATGCACCCAAGGTGCCAGCACCTGTATCAGTACACTTGAGGGCGTGTGTTTGACCTGTCTGTTTTTTTAAATTAAAATGTTATTCCTGTGAATGACTTCTTTATTAGTTTCACTATTCTTATTTGACACATAAAGATGATTCGTTACCCCCCACGGCTCTTTAATGAATTGTTGCCATTTGGGGTCATGATTCGACACATTTTTTTTTTATATATTTGTCTTTTCACCATTGCATTTGTATTGATTCTGGGTTTTTTTTGTCTCATTTTGTGGAGTTTTGTTAACACCATTAGCGAAAACATTAGCGTGAACAATACGTGGATTCTCAGTGAAAAACTACTTTTTAATGCTCGAAACGATGCATAGTAACATGCCTAGCATTTATCCACAGATTAATTCACAATTATACTTGTACCATGTGGCTGGTGGGAAAGCATAAGGTCAAGATATACAACGAAATAAAATCTGTGAATCAGTCTGTAGGACATGGTTATTGTAGACAAATTAATGGTTTGTTTCCTCTTCTTTTCCTTCCACTAACCTATCTATCTATATAAAACTCAAAAGTTGTGTGTGGGTTTGTGGCGGGGTTTGTGTGTGGGTTTGTGGCGGGGTTTGTGTGTGGATTTGTGTGTGGTCGCGTGCTTGGCTCTCCAACGGTGGGGTTTACGAAAACAAAATTGCCAGGTACCACGCGGTGAGCAAGCGCTATTTTTTTTGTGCGCTTCCCTTTCATATATTTATTTATTAGCGGGAAGTACCCGGCGTTGCCCGGGCGAAAAAGACACACACATCGACTTAACACAGATATCGACCCACACACACAGACACATCGACTTACACACACACATATGGACTCACACACACACACACATCCACTTTAGATACACACACATGGAGTTACACACACAAATCGACGTACATACATACAACGAGTCACACACACACATACATAGACTCTCACACACACATCGACCTAAGCACACATATGCACTTACACACACACATATCGACTAAGTCACACACACATGGACTTACACACACACACATGGACTGACACACACACTTTGACTTACACACACGCATCGACGTACACACACAGACATCTGGCGTTGCACGGGCAAAAAGACACAGACACATATCGACTTACACACACACATAAATATCCCCCGTATAGCCTTAACAGATTGTAGAAGCAAGTGCTGTTAGCGAGCACCTATGAAGGCCGGAACGGTACACGAGGGGGTGGGTGGCCAGCACCACGCCCGACCGCCTTTGTCTCCCTAGTGGCGATGTTTACACACCGCACCAGGTACTCATTGGAGCAGCTCAGCGCCCGACTCGACGTCGCGGAGGCGAGGTTGCGCGCACCTGGCCCACATTTTGAGGGGGAGCGGCGGATTCCCGCCAACCCGTCTCCCGCCAACTTAAGAAGAACCGCAGAGTGATGAACTATCAGTCTAGAAGTGAATAATCACAGAGTGACGAACTATCAGTCTAGATGTGAAGAACTACAGAATGATGGACTATCAGTCTAGATGTGAAAAACCACAGAGTGATGATTGATCAGTCTAGATGTGAAGAACCACAGAGTGATGAACTATCAGTCTAGATGTGAAGAACCACAGAGTGATGAACTATCAGTCTAGAAGTGAAGAACCACAGAGTGATGACCTATCAGTCTAGATGTGAAGAACCACAGAGTGATGGATTATCAGTCTAGATGTGAAGAACCACAGAGTGATGGTTGATCAGTCTAGATGTGAAGAACCACAGAGTGATGAACTATCAGTCTAGAAGTGAAGAACCACAGAGTGATGACCTATCAGTCTAGATGTGAAGAACCACAGAGTGATGGATTATCAGTCTAGATGTGAAGAACCACAGAGTGATGGTTGATCAGTCTAGATGTGAAGAACCACAGAGTGATGAACTATCAGTCTAGAAGTGAAGAACCACAGAGTGATGGAATATCAGTCTAGATGTGAAGAACCACAGAGTGATGAACTATCAGTCTAGATGTGAAGAACCACAGAGTGATGGATTATCAGTCTAGAAGTGAAGAACCACAGAGTGATGGTTGATCAGTCTAGATGTGAAGAACCACAGAGTGATGAACTATCAGTCTAGATGTGAAGAACCACAGAGTGATGAACTATCAGTCTAGAAGTGAAGAACCACAGAGTGATGACCTATCAGTCTAGAAGTGAAGAACCACAGAGTGATGGTTGATCAGTCTAGATGTGAAGAACCACAGAGTGATGGAATATCAGTCTAGAAGTGAAGAACCACAGAGTGATGGTTGATCAGTCTAGATGTGAAGAACCACAGAGTGATGACCTATCAGTCTAGAAGTGAAGAACCACAGAGTGATGGTTGATCACGGCAGCGGTGGGAGGCAGCGCCACGCCGCGCTGGGCGCTGTCTCCCAACAAATGGGTTCAAGAGTCTGCAACTTTCTCACAATCAGAATCGTTCTTCATCCTGGAGAAATCCGAAGAGCTATGAAGCACCTTTAGTTGTATCACACGAGGGGCGGGTAATGAAGTTACAACGACAGACGAAACAAAACAACGACAGGAGTGCAAAGTGTCGGTAAGGTAAGCAAATGACTAAACATAAATGCGTAAAATAGATAAATCATATATTTAAGGCCTCGACACAGAGGCGTTGTCTTTCTGTTTGTCTATGTGTGTGTCTCTCTGTGTGTGTCTCTCTCTGCTTGTGTGTCTGTCTGTGTGTCTCTATGTGTGTGTCTCTCTGTGTGTGTGTCTCTCTCTCTGTGTCTCTCTGTGTGTGTCTCTCTGTGTCTCTCTGTGTCTCTCTGTGTCTCTCTGTGTCTCTCTGTGTCTCTGTGTGTGTCTCTCTCTGTTTGTCTCTGTGTGACTCTCTCTCTGTGTGTCTCTCTCTGTGTGTCTCTCTGTGTGTGTCTCTCTCTGTTTGTCTCTGTGTGTGTCTCTGTGTGTGTCTCTCTGTATGTGTCTCTCTTTGTGTCTCTCTCTGTGTGTCTCTGTGTGTGTCTCTCTCTGCGTGTGTGTCTGTCTGTGTGTCTCTCTGTGTGTGTCTCTCTCTGTGTGTCTTTCTTTGTGTGTCTCTCTCTGCTGGTGTGTCTGTCTATGTGTCTCCGTGTCTGTGTTCTGTCTCTCAAATTTATTCATCTTTGGAGGAACGTAATCAACCAGGTAGGGTGTTGACTGTTTTGTTGGCCGGCTCTCTGTGTTGTAATGCATTATATTTCTAAGTTTACTATCTTTGTTTTCTCATTCATTCTCACCTGATGATGGTTGCTTGTGTTGCAATCGAGGCAGCAAAGCAACAGCAAAGCAGTCCCATACCACACCAAGGCAGTCCCTCAATTATGCCACGGAGTGAACGTTCCCGCAGCGAACACTCTGACGCCAGTGCTGGGGGGAGCCCTCAGTCAAGGTGGTGCCGTGTCAGTGGTGCGAACAGTGCCGGATTATACTCGTAGCTACACAAGTAGCTACACAAGTAGTAGTAGCTACTACACGTGTAGTAGCTACACAAGTAGTAGTTACCACACATGTAGTAGCTACTACACATGTAATAGCTACATAAGTAGCTACACATATGTAGTAGCTACTACATGTGTAGTAGCTACTACACATGGAGCAGAGCCCCCCCCCCCCACTCCTCTAGAGAGTAGGTGGGGGGGGGTCTCGTGATCGCTGAGTCACAACGCGGTGCGTGGATCGTGCAGGGCG